TTTGAAGACACGAAAACGATTTAAGATGCTTTGCAGGGCAACATCATTAAAAACACCTGTAGGATGTTACACTTGACTTTCACAGTTCTCTTGAGTTCTGCCTTCGTCTCTCTGCGAGAATAGCCGACGGGATTGCAAATACGTAAATGTTTGTATAACTGTCTGATTTCTGGCTTTGCTCATTTTTGACCGTATATTTTATTTTTTCTTCCTTCCTTTTTTCCTTCCTATTCTCCTTCCGGCTAGTTATGAAAATATCTCATTTTCAACACACTATGTCGAAATGTAGAAATCGAATGTTAAACTTTTGTAAAGCGAGAAACATTTGCACTTCATGCTTCCGCTCTTTTCATATTCTTAGAAAACTATACACCAAAATATTTTTTAAAATCAAGTTTCCCTTCCAGTTCCTGATTGCCAAAATAAGAGCAAACGATGCACCATACTAACCTGTATATGTAAGAATTTCTTTGCCGTTCCACGATGAACAAGAGCAGATTAAATCTATAGTTTTTCCAATCTTCTGTTAAAAAGGATTCGTTTACATTGTACATGGTTGGTTGATAAGCACACAGAAAGCGGAACAAAACCCTTGCCATGGCGCGGAAAATAAGGCTCCGAAATGGACAAAGCCTCGTGAACCTCCGGAAATGCTAAGGAAATGACGCTCCGGAAGGAACAACATACCACTCAATCGAGCGAAATACGGCGCATTTTTACAAAAACAGGAAGAAGAAGTTTTAACGGCTTTTTTTTACCTGCAAATATGCATATTGCTAGATTTGTCCCATGTTGATTACTCTTTGAAGATCGAGCATTGTCATTCAGTCACGCAACTAACTATTTTATGCTGATTTCCTTTCCTCGAAATATGAAGATCTCTTTACCAAAGAATCAATTCACGCGCCTTGTCAATTTTTGGTTGATATCTAAAGAAAAAAAGGGTTAGGCATTAAGATTCTTATCTTCGAAATCTAAGCAAAAGACAGCAACGTAGGAAACTTCATGTTTTGATATGGTTGGATTCTTTCCCGTCATCCTAGTAGGATCGATAACTTGCTGAGGGCCAATAGCGTGGTTTGAACATGCTGTTTGATAAAATGTTACAAGATGTTACTCGACGCATACTCAATTCATCTGGAGCCTGATGTGCCCAGATGAGGAAAAAGGTTACATATCGGTGGTAAGAAGCATGGTTGTGGTGAAATTCTACGACTTTCATATGTTCTGTGCGTTCTGTATCACCAATGGTCTGGAGAACTCGAAACATATGAAGGAAATTTCTTTGGATGAAAATCGATGCAACAAAAAGAGACCATTTACCCAAAACGGAAAAAAAAATACTTATGCCCTCAAATTAGGTAGGGCAAATTGAATTCTGCACTTGTTTCTTTACGGCTTCCTTTCGTGACACAACAAAAATTATTCCGCTTTGGTAGGACGGCTAAGTGTAAGGTTGGTACCTGAAGTACGAAGATCACTGCATATTGGAGTGAAAATAAGAATAAGTGCGTCGTGCATGCATCTTTTTCCCCTTTTTGATTTTAACCTCACCATCTCACACCCTGCCCAAGGAACTTTATCATTATCCTTCATGCATCTTAAACTAGCAGCTTCAAAGAACGCTGAGAGAAACACGAAATCCATGTATTAGCACCACCGACCAGTGCTTACATTAGTTTATATTCAACTCAGCTAGCACAGATGAAAATAATATGATCAATAATGTCGATTTAAAAGTCTAACTCATTTATTTAAATATTCAATCCTGTTCGATCTGGGTCGCGTGTGTTTCCTACAGAATGACCTTGTCTATAAATTTCCCTTTCCCCGACCAAGGATTTCAAAAGTGTGATGTCAATTTGTAAATAAAATATTCAAATGATTTCTTCTTCTCTTCGTTTGAAAACTGGGAAAACGAATATCGTTAGATGAACAAGAAAGGAGAACACTACTGAGCTGGCGTCATACTAGCGTCAAGCCGATGTCACACTTTGTTCATTTACTATTGTTCATTTTTGTATGATGTACCGTAGAAAAGCAAAGTTGTAATACCTTGAAATAGCTACAGTATGATTAACTAAGATCTCATGATGCGGCCTCTTCTCCTTGGGGTTTTTTCCCTTCTAACAAAAGAGGGATCCAAAACACTAGCACAATCCCAAAGTTTGTTCAACACATTTGTGATTAATCACTTAAGTTAACTATTAGTATCCATTCAATGGACAACTGTATAATACGTGTTAAATGAATAAGCTTTAAGAAGATTTGATCGGAGCTGATCCTTGAGTTTCTGTTCTATTATCAGACAAAATCATCCCTTAGCTTAATGTTTGACTGAAATCAAAATGTATCATACTTATTGTGTTTGTTGTGAGCGGCAAAGACATCAACGCTTGTATGTTAAGAAAATTTTTCAATGTACGACTGCATGGATCTATCATATTTACAAGGTTAAACCCCTATGCACTGATGTTCATTTGAGTTTAAAAAGAAAACAATCATGAAAGAGAGAAGAAACAAAGAAAACAAACCAATCTGGTGAAGGTTTCAGCCGAACTTGAACCTTCACCATTCCCTTAATGAGTTCGGTGATTATGGAATAAACATTAGTTCCTCAGGACTGCGGGATATACTTTTCTTTTCTTAAAGAATTAATAGTTTTTAAACTCGACATAAATACAATTCAATGAGCCTTGAGAGAAACGGGTAAATTCCAACTTGCTGGGAATACTAAAATATTGTTACTTTCATTCCTTTGTAGTTACTGTTGGTCTCTGAGCCATTTGGCCAAATCATGCGATTTGTCATGAGATGCGGCAACCTTATCGTTTAAGTCCTCAACTTGCTGTTTTGTCAAAGGTGTAGCAGGTCTGAATTTTACCACCTTCTCCATACTTCCTGATAGGTCTGGCAGAACACTCGTGCTCTTTGCACGGGACCTTTTTATGCTATCTGTCGCTATTGCCTTCCAATCACCTACTAAATGTTTATTCGTCGCTGCATCTCCTTGGGTTATCTTCGGCAATTTGCTTTCGTGAAAATTTCTACCATTACTGGGGCAAAATTCTTGACACCTTTGATTGTCCCTGATTAGGGAGCCATCTCTTTCTTGAAGGGAATATACGATTTCTGACTGCGACCTGAAATGGCTTCCGCCGGCTTCTCGAGCACAAAATATTTGTGTATCGTCGCATCTCGATCGCAGAAGATCGGTCGAGGGTGACTGAAGTTCGTGGCTAAGAACTCGATACGCGTTTTGTTTGTTTATACGACTATTGCTACTTTGTTTCCTGGGCAATGAATCCTTTGCGCTCATCGTCCTTGAAATTGAACTGATGAAGACAAAGACGATTTTAATTACAAGGAATTTTTTCCCAAAGAACGTTTTGCACTTCAAAGGATTAACCTCAGCAATCTGACGCCAACTTGACACTAAAACGTCAAAAGTTTTGGAATCTTATTTTCTTAAACTTAATCTTCTGCTAAATTTGATGGAACTGATCTTATATTATCTACTTTCATACCTCAAAAAACGATTGCTGCAAGAGTATATTTCCATTTGTGTAATTTATGATTTCATTGTTAGGATAATATGGAGGGATCTTCAAATCATAATTTGTTTCATGAGGGGTGGAAAACATAAGCTGTTGTCTTAATTTGTGACAACTTTTTTTACCCTAAAAGATCTTCTTAGCATGAATTTCGTAATCCCGAAGATATTTGAAGGGATTAACTTTCAAGTACTGCAAACATGTTATCCTCTACATTCTTTTGTGTCGATTAAAGGAATTGTTGAGAAAGCTCATACAAATCAATTTAATTACCTTATTCATATTTAAGTTCAATTTGGGGCACAAAATTTTTCGATTGAAGTTCGCGTCTCAGATTTTTGTGTCAATTTTGCAGCATAATACAGCTTTGGCTTTATCCCATATGTCAGTTCGGCCTCTATAGTTATTAATCTGAAGAATGATAATGCCAGTATTCTGAGCATACTTACTTTAACGTTGGAAGCACACGTCCAAATTGGAAAGAATTGGAATCGTGCTGAAACAACTTTTAAGCTGTTGTTCAAAGGTACCAACTTAAAGCTTGCAGCGTGGGTGCACCCGGCCTATTAAGGCAGTACCTTACTAGTTGATCCTCGAATGTCACTTTGGCATCAATTGAGTGCCTCGATTTGACAGAAAATCAGCTTTCCTTAGGCGATTATGAATATTTAAAGTCTTAAACTCTTCAAGGGACGTTAATTACGATAGAGTTGCTATATGATTTTTATTTTCCTTTTATAATTTTGCATAACCTACAACCTTCCCTCGCGGAAAACCATCGCCCTGAGGCTTGCAATTGATTTTGTCTTAGATTAAAAAAAAACTATGCTTTTTGGTGAATACTGATTCGATGAAGAAGGCGGTCATTCATATTTTATTAAACACATTCCGAAACACTCCAAGATTAGTCTCACAAAAATTTTCTTTTTCAGTTAACGTCAGTTTTAATTAGTTGTTGCAAGTGCTTCTTGCGCCTTAATTTATTGAATTCTTGATGAATTTGCTGGCCCATTGCCGATGTAATTTCTTTTTACATCAAAGAAAGCGCTTTGAATTAAACAGCCTTTAATTCAGAGAGAATAAAATAAAACTGACACACTCAGCCAGTAACATAGCTTTACTGTAAAATAAAATCTGTAAATAGTTTCTATAACTAATGACAAAAAGTCAAATCTTCCGACATGTATATCAGTGTGTCGCCAGTTAAACATTGCTAATGAAAAAGAAATCAATGTCCGAACGTTTTCGGATTTATTCCCGCCAAACTTCAACTAGAAAACCGCAAACTCAAGGATGGCTTTCCCAGCAAGTTCCACGCTTGATGTAATTGCTCGCCATTACCGGTGGGAAGCTATCATCATATCTATAAAACACTATTCAACTGGCTCACCATACAATGATCAGGACGTGACGCATCGGAAGGAACAACATACCTCTCAATTGCACTTTCGATCAATCAAACTCATTATTAAGTGATCAATTTTGTCTTTACTTTCCCATATCGCCAGCATCTGTGGTACGGTTTCAGAATATATAGTTCTCGCTTTGAAATATCGATAGGGCAATTTCCACTGACCTCTATGGTCGATTATGAAAACACTTTCACCTGAAGTATCACTAAGAATTGCTAGAGATTTTCTTGATAAGTGTTTGTTTGCCCTTCTAAGACGATTTCAACCAGGAAGTAACATAGCTCAGTTAAATAAAAGTTTTTGAATTCTTTCATGACGACAAAAATGAGCATTTTCATCGGTCAGAAAAGCAGTGAATCACTACTAGATCTTACATGGGATTAAAAACATGCCTCCTTAAAGTTCTGATACTATTAGTGTTCGGTGAGAAATCTACAGAATGAAACATCAACGGTTTATTTATTCTTTAAGCGTTTCAAAAAAAAAAAAACTCGAGAGAGATGTGTTGATATGCGTACATGTACTTTTTATTAATTTAAAACTGATTGAAAAAGATCAGCAGCTAAATACATAACTTAGAAACTAGATTTGTAAACACGCTGAAATAAATACGATGGCAAATATACTTTTAAGTAATCTATAAAAATGTTTTAAATCAGTTCTTGTCCTACTGTCTCAGGCATTGTAATTAGTATCAGGTATAAGAATCGCCACTTTGTTGGTAGAGTTTCAGTCGCTCCCTTTTTCGCATTTCAAGTTTGTATACAATGGCATCACTCAGGCAGCTGTGTTGAATTTTTGTTTGACATGAAAGGTGATGGTTGGATTGCCTTTTCCGTAGTGTTGGCTTTGACCGGGATCTTTCCAATTGCTCTTTGATATCGTCAGCAAAATCAACTCTTCGGGTGTTTTGAATGCTTTTTATATCCTCAAATTTGCGCCCTTCTTGAGCTACGTGACTGAAATTGGTGACTGCGCCAGCAAACACTGTTGGGCAGGATACGTCAGAGAGCGAGCCAGCAAGCTGTCTTTTCACAAAAGCTGAGTAAGGGCCAGGTTTCAACTCCGTTTCTTCCACAGTTCGATTTCCAGAAAGAGGAATGAGTCCTGAGTCAACCGACAAACTTCTCGTCAACCATCTTTGTTTCTGCTTATCAAGATAGCTATGGATCATTCTCGAGCCTCTGAGCCTTTCTGCTAAGATCTCATTCCTGTTTCCACGTTTTCCTTCACCTGAGCCACCTGCTGGCTTTTGGTTAATCGGAGGAAGAAAGCTGGATTTAAGAATCTTCCTTGTGAGGCTGTTGAATGCGTTGACATCTTCAAGGGAAAGGTTTTCAAGAGCGTATTCGAGTTGTTCGTTGCTACGTTTCTTTTGTTGTTTCAAAGCGCTTCGCTCGATGTCTTGAAGTCTTTTTTGCAGTCTCCGTTCCTCAAAACCGTTTTTCTTTGTAGTTTCATCGGCGATTTCGCTCGTTAATGATCGTTTCTTTTCCAAAAAGCTCATTTCTACCCTTACAGATCGATATTTAACAGGACGTGAAGAATGCTGTCCATGGTCACGAAGATTCGTGATACTCAAACGCTCTGCTGATCTGCAAAATCGATACACGCCAGTGACCCGAATCATAAATATGTCCTACGCATAGAGAGATGATGCAGTGTAGAACTTATGAACTTTTACACTGCGCAACTTGTGAAATTTAATTTTTCTTGTTTCAGAATTTTTCCTTTTTTTTCGGTTTGGAAACCCTGGGTGCAGACTGGTAGTGCAACCATTTGTCAAATGTCATGGACTGAACACTAGGATATTTCAATATCAACAAAGAACGTCAACAAAGAGCGTGAGATTACTCAATTTCCAAGCTTGTGTTGACACTCTCTTTCTTGTACTGAAACTCATTTTTGAATAAATAAAATATCTTCATTTTTTTCTTTCGAAGGAATCACAATACAGTTGTTCGATAGCATTCTTGTTTTTCGACACGTATAGGGTGGTCACTCTTCCGGAACCATAGCCAAATTGCGCCTAAAGCGACCATGCGCAAGGAGGAATAAACACAAAAGCAAATGAACCTTATCACGAGCAAGATCAGAAACTTTGGAATCAATCTGTTGTTACATGCTTTCTGAATACGTTGTTGCAAGGGCATAATTCAGTAATACTCACTTTATTTCTTATAATTCTTCAGTTAAAACCATGTAAGAGAATAAGAATATTTCTACTAAATCAACACAAACAAATATATTGGTCATACGTTTCCGCCTTCAGTTGACTAAACAAGGACAATCTCTCGTAATTAAAATGACTTTTGCACTGAAACCAAGGTACGATTGACCAATCTTTTTGCTCAGAAAAGGGAAATTTCAACACTCCCTAATATATGGGAATGATTGTTATTCGGATATTTTAGAGAACGGGAACTGACGTGCTGTACCACCATTACTCTCGGACTTTATTGAGGCAAGTGATTTGATGGTGAAAAGTATTGAATTGAGTGATGTTCAATATCGACGTTGAAGTAAGGTCACGAGTGAACATTATTGAATGCTTTTTTTAAATATCATTGTCCTGAACAATAGCCTAGTTGTCTCTGTGGTCGATAAGCGTGGGAAATATATGCAGCTAAAGAATTGCGATTGGTAATTATAACTAAAGTTCAAGAACTTTTTGGCATCTTTAAATTCCATTTAAGGTTGCTAATGAATACGCATTATTCTTAACAACACAATCGCGTCGAAATGTCATATTGTCTAATTTTGATCATAATGTCCCATTAATTTAAGCGGCCAACGACCTTTCCTTTCATGCGGTTTTGATTCTAATATTCCACAGTCACTTGCGTCCAAAAACAACCATATTTGTTGCAATATGTGAAAATTGACCAAGGGTAAAGAAGCACTCCTGGAAATGGAACTCGTTTCCATTGTTTGATGCAATCTTGTGATCGGCTTTCAAGAATCTGTTTTCTTTAGCCATTATTTTTGGCCAGGGGAAACATTTGTCAATAGTAGACCTTGGACTATGGGAACTAACAAAGCAACAAATAAGTAAAAGATAAACAATTCAATGATAGATTACCAACGGCGATTACAGAGCCACCTTATTTCCGAGAGACGAGAGGTGTGGAAGTATTAAACATTCAGAAAAGTTAACGCAGTGTCTAGCCAAACAAAGGACTCTTAGACCTTTTTCAAGAACATTCTCCTATAAGAGTCAAGTGGTCGATCTTTATCTGCTGCATATTATCACAAGGATCTACTCTGTCAGAATCCTACAAGGAACTTCAATTAAAAAAGCCGGATAGAAGAGACATGGATGAGACAAAACTGTTTCAGCCTAGAACTAGACGGCGTATTGCTTCGCTTCCAGAGACGTCTTTAACGGAAATTATTACTTCCGTTGAAAGGAAAAGGCACACTTCTTCTGTTGCAGAACTGCCAAGAAACTTTCGAACTGGTAAAAGACATTCTCTTGATTCGCCTTACAGCTCCTCCAGGCATTACTTAATAGAAGAGTCTGAATTTCCCTTTAACGACGGCTTTAAATTTCACCCTAAGCCTCGAGAGGAAGAAAAGGCCACAGCTGAAGAAACAAACAGTGATTTGGGAACAAGGCTGGCTCGTTTTCCTGCGCTACCAACATCCCCTGTAACATGTAATATTTCTCCATTTGAGGAAGCTGCAAGTCTCAACAGGATACACTCAGGGAAAGATTACGAGAGAAAAGAAACTGGACGAACTTCAAGCATGGAAAAGCCGTGGGTTAAAGAAGAAGTTACTGACGCATTATCTTCTCTTACGGGTACGAAATCCTCACTTCCACGAATCAAACGAGCAGTGAACGATTCCAGAAGGCTCTCCCTTCCGATCTCAAAAGAAAATACAACAGAACTTCACACGACCGCCTTTCTATCAAGAGTAAACTCGGTGGAAGGTCGTGAATCGCAAACAGAAGTGGCTCATCCTTTGCCTTCGTTGGTGTGTGCAGGCTTCATTAACCCACCGAGTAAGCAGTCGGACAAACTCACTTTTGATGAAACAGACAATCCAGCAAAGTTATTTCCCAGAGACAAGGGGTCTTTTGATTGCAATCGCGCGAATCTTATAAGCCATCCTGCAGATGGCAAATCAGATGAAAGCGTTGAAGAAACCGATAAAGCACAAGCGCTGAGAACACATGTGGAGGATGCAGCAGTTGATTTCAACGAAGTCGAGACCAAGGCTGTTATGTTAGTTGAATGGCTCTGGGATCAATCGAACGTCAACTCGTGAAAGGCTAAGAACCTTCCTATGCCATTTTCTGCCTCTTTATTTGATATTTCAGACTATGAGTGTTAACAGGTGACATTTAGTTTTCACTGAATACCAGATAAGTAGAAAGGAGAATAAATTGCATACGACAAGAACGGAACGCATTACCGAGACGAAATGAGTATCTAATTTTATGAAAGTAAAAGAAATGGTTTGAAAGTTTTGGGTAAGCCCATTCCTCGTTGTATATGGTCATTAAAGCAGAAGATCGCTTTAAAATAAGCGTTGGTTTTCCTTCGTCTCTTAAAAAACACTACCGGCTTTTTAAAATTGTCTCCTTTTGGTATATAATGGTATCAGGCATAATGAAGAGGCAAGGAGGCTTTCTGTCTCAAAGAGATGCGATTTTAACTTTGAAAGTCCAACGGATGTTCTTCCAATTTCAATATTTCAGTTTTAAATCTCAGCGAGACAGTGATCAGGCACTTTTAAGGAGGTCATTTTCTGTCCTTAAAAACTCCGCAGGTGTGAAGTTATAGAATTGCTTCGCGTTTGTTATTGTTATTAGGTAGATCCGTGTAACCTCAAGGTTTATTTCGTGTAAAGGATTAACAGCCGCAGCGAAAATAAATCAAACGGTTTAAGGTGAAGAATAAACTTGAATAGTGGCAACATGAAGAAACTGCTATGAACTCAATAACTAACTCATTCAGTAGATTCAGACTACCACCCACGCACAATTATGACTATTATGACCAACATAACTTAGTTCAAAACAGCCATCGAAGAAATAAATGATGCGTTTTGTTTTGTTTTGTTTTGTTTCTACATATCGATCTGTGTATGGCATGCACCATAACACCCGAATAATCGGAAACTTCATAGTAGTTATAAACTTTCAAACAACGAGAACGCCGGTAAATTTTAAGCGAGACATCCTAACATAATTTAACAACAACATGGTTATTAATATTGACGGTCAGGAAGAAACAATTACTTGACCGCAAACTTAAGACATTTCCATTAGTCTTGCTCCTAGGTATGTAGGTATATCACAAACGGCTCGTGGATTGTCGATGACTCAACAAAGAGTTTTACCCCTTTTGATTTTGATTTTTGCACCTTAATGACTGCGTTAAATTTATCAGGGTATCAGATAACTCAGCAAGTGCACACGTGTGTAGCTAACATCATTAGCATTATAAAACCCGAGTAATCGGAAACTCCACAGTAAATATATAATTTTAAACGACGAGAACGCCGGTAAACTTTAAGCGAGGCATCCTAAAATAATGATTAGTGACCTTGACGGTCATGAAGAAACAATTAGTTAACCGCAAACTTAGGACTTTTTCACTATTCTTACCCCTAGGTATATAGGTATCTCACAATCCGTCGGTGACTTAACAAATGGCTTGACACACTATAATTTGGACCTTAATGACTGCGTTAAATTTAGCACGGTATCAGATAACTCAGCGACTGCACATGTCTTTAGCTAACATCATTTTGACGGATAAAAAGTGAACGAATAATTTTATTCTTACGTCAATACTGAAATCTAACTTCATAACCTCAATTACCAAACCGCAAGAAGTTTCTTTCAATGAGATAATCATTTTTGTGCTTTATTCACTCTATCCTACAGATCATGGATTATAGCTATTGAATCATCACATCAGTATAACTATTTCACACAAACCAAAAAATATTTACCTTGGTTCTTCCCAAGATTCAGCCAATATCAAGTGACTGCTTTATCGATAGTACAGCCGGCTTCCTTCTCTCTCAATCACTCTCTGACAAGTTTTGTCGTCAAAAAAGGTTTAAGGCTAGGTCAGTGAGATGACAATTCAATTGCAGCTTCTAGTTTTTCCTGTTACTCCAAAACATCGTTTATAAGTAATGATAACCGATTTCAGCTTTAAAAAATTAATAAGTATAATGATAATCCTAACCATCAGTGAATTCACATATAGCTGTTACAGATGAGACATAAGTTTATTAAAATTGAGTTGTCCAAAAAAATGGCTGTTTCATCACAATTATTTTTCTTTCATTCTAATCGAAAAGTTGACAGGAAAAAATAAGACGTGCAATTTTCGTTATGTTTTATTGAATTACTTGCGATTGGTTTACTATATAAGCACAAAACCTGTTGTTTTCAAAGGTTCAATGATTCGTTTTGATTTATGAATAACTGCATTGTTCCTTTTCTTCGCTGTCTTTGTTTAACCCACGCCTAAGCCAAGAAGCTAAGTCACACAGTTTGTCAAAGCATGCAACTATGTGGGCTAAAGGCTGTTTCATCGAAAAAAACGAATATTTAACCACCTTTTGAAATACAAAAATCAGTTTCCAGCACAATAAGGAAATAAATAGCAGCGGAAACAAAAACAGAGGCTGTAAAAATTCTCGGTTAAGATTATGCGCGACGATCTTACGTAACGTGATAACGACAAATATACCATAAAAAATTCACCACAGGGAATCATTTTAAATTCTTCTTGTTATTGCTTTGTAATATTACAACAGAGATCTGAAGATTAAGTGTGCTGAATCAGTGTTTCATAATTAAGTTTCGAACTTCCCTTTGTTATAAACTTCGAACTGCAGTCAGCTCAAAGTTCCTAGATACTATTGGAAGGTGCATGAAAACGCATGGAAATGCGCTCTCTAGATGTAACATAATTATCATGCTAGCTTTTTACCCTAACAGAGGTCCCAAATGGGAAAAATTTCCTTCCATGACCTTTACTAAATACTCGCCTAAGCCTCGTAATGGACGGGTGTGGCCAAAGATAACGATATTAACTTAAAAGGTTAACTCCGGCATAAAGAATTTCTTGATTATTACATTGCTAGGGCAAATCAACTGAAAGAGAGAATAACTGGTTTAATTTCCCTTACTTAGACTCCAGTTTGAAACATTGATGAGTTCAATAACAAATCGTTTATCTACCGGAATTGTCTAAACAGGCTCTTACCACTAAAACATAATAGTTGTCAAGTAAAAACCGCAACCTAAGTATTTAGCTAGAGATGCACCAGCCTTTTATTCTCATGAGCAGAATAAGTCATATGCTTTTGGAGAAGGTAAGGTGGCGGTGGGAAAAATCAGAAAGCACCCCGAAACAGGGTTTGCAAACAACGTACCGGGAGTTTTACAGCAAGAGCGACAAACAAAACAGGAATGCAAACAAAGTAGGAGCGAAAAAAACCTCATAAGAAATCATCTCATGCTCTGGTAGAGGAGACAAATACATAATTTTTCTGAATCCCAAGTATTAATAGCCCCTCCTGGGTGGTACTTTCGTGCAACAAGAAAATGACAAAAATCAAACGATTCCATCAAATGCCAGTGGAAGGATAACAGAGGTATCTGTAATTCGTGGAACCCATATATAAGCTAGAAGGCGAATTTGAAAACCTTCCAGTTTAGCAATCTTGAGAGGACCGCGCCTTAATTTCCGGTGCATCATTGAAATCAGCAAGACTAAGAACAATAAATGTCCAAGTTTCAATCATCTTAACTTAAGTTCAACCGCGAAGATCACAATTGTAAAAAGTTACTTAATCAAAGCAAGCATGTGATGCAGATAGTTTATTTATCAAATGGAGTTAGCTAAGCGCAAGGAAGACACACAAAACAGAAGCAAACAAAATGAAAACCTGAAATGATCGTATTCTCTTGCGTGTTTTGATAGAAGAGACAATAACCTAATTTTCGCTCAAGAACCTCTCCTGATGTTGTGTCCAGTAGCGTCCGGAAAACATTTATTGAAAATGGGGAGAAAAGATTTAATTACTACAAAGGAAAGAGCCACACTGTTGTAAAAAAGTTTTTGCGTTAAGCTTCTCTGAATGATTATCCAACAAAATTAATTGTGAATCAATGGACAAAGTAAGTTTTTCTTGTTCCCTGGAATATATGCAGCTGACTCGATCATTTGTGTAACACTGAACTAATTGCCGTCGAATCCTATATTTTCCTCACTATTGAGAAAAAAGTTTGACTATTTCGACGATTTAGGCATCTAAAGGTACAGTCATGCAACCAAGTGTAGTTGTATTCCTATGATTACAAATTTGTTTTACCTGAAGGCGTTTCTGGATAGAAGACCATTTTTATGTCAGTTATATCGGGATCCCACTAC